CCCACACCCACACCCCACACCCACCCACACCCACACCCGCAATTTTTCCAATCTTTGGTACGAGACCTTATCTATAGATGTATAATGACTTTTTTCCGATGAAATTTTAGTCGATTTTGAAACTAGATATAATCTAAATTGTTAAGTGTTTTAATGTAAAGAACAAAAATTATTTAAATGAAAATCAAATTACTTTTTTTTCTATCAAAAGAACAATAATTGTCTTTGATCTAGCTTTTGAAATTAGTTATCGTCGACTAAATAGCCAAAACAAAGAACACTTGGAAAAAATTGATTCAAAACAAAACATTGATGAAAATGAAAAAAAAAGAAACTTCAGCGGAAGTGAAGGAAAAGAAGAAGTCTATTGATCAGATAACGAAAACGTTTTCCGTCTCATGTATATTCGAAGATGTTGGCATACTATTATTTTGATAATAAGAATTGTGCACCCGAGAAAATTGCTCGAGCACCACTTATCAGCAATACTGAATAAGAACTGTTTATGATTTACCATAACTGTTTATAATTTGATTCAGTTAAGATTTGAAATACAATAATAGAACTCTAATATAAGAGATATCATAGTTTAAGTTAGCTTTAGGTTAGAGGTGTCAGTTTCGGGTTCCGTTGCCGTATCTAGGGTATAGATGTTTTCTAATACTTATTAAACTTTCTATTCTCGTTTATTTTATTATTTTACGTTCTCATTTCATTCTAATTATCACGTGCAAGTAGCGTTAACATTCGTTAGGATATTTGATTGCAACAATCTATGAAGATATCTATCACATTTTGATAATTGCAAATCCTTCATCATTCGAAGATTTCGAAAACACAAACACTTCGATGTTCATCCCCAAGTATTCGATTCTTAAGTGAGGAGTGCACAATGATTCTAAGAGTTCGATGTTGGTATGGTTTTAGGTGTAGGTCGTCATTCCATTGACATTCGTATCTGATCTATTCCAGTACTCTGAAAAAAAATGAAGGAGGACAAGGGAAAGCTGTAATAAAAAAAATCAAAAAGAGCCGTTTGCATATGCGTTATAGATATGCCTTGTCAATACATTTGACGAAGGTAATAAAACAAAAGTTTATATCGACTCATGCTTTGCTTTTTATCTTTCAAAAGACAATATTCTTGTTTTACATAAGTATATACACGTGGTCATTATTTATCAAAACTATCCATGAGTGTGATACAAATAGAGATAGATAAAATTCGTAAACAATTTAAGCAATTGCGTGCTTGGAAATCAAGTGAAAAAGATCCATTTGATGAACTTGAACAATGGCGAGTGAATGCTCATTTATATATTGACCAAATTTATGAGCGTACACGAGCCGAAATCAACAGCGCAATGAAACAACATGAAAAACATCTGTTTCGTGAAGCAGCAAAACAATGGAATTTATTCAATGCCATTCGAAAACAAGCAACACAAGGAATAAGACATGCAGAACAAAGCCATGTTCTTAGTGGCAACAGTGAGTCAATATTAATTTCCAGTTTGCATAAAATCGTAACAGAAATCAACACAAATTTGCGTAGTGGTGAAATCATCATTGAAACAGTTCCTTTCAATCTAGAAGAGACAATTAAAATATCCTTGAGAACTGATGTGATCACACCAACAAGAATATTCACTTGGAAGAGTTCAACTGCCGATCAATGGGAAAAGGCCAAACGAAAACGTAAAGAAGATGCTGCTCGTGGATTTGAAGAATGGAAACAAAAGAAAGATCAAGAACTGATCGACACTCGCCGATCAATGCAACAAGCAGAACGAGAAAGGCGAAAGCAAGAAGCGCAAGCACGAATGCAAAAGACAGAAGACGCCCATAAAGCTTATGAAGAATGGATAGAGTCCAAGGACCATAAACGTATGTTCAAGAAAAAATGAAAAACGAATAATGAATACTCCTAGTGAGTATGGGTGGGTGTGAGGGTGTGGGTGTGGGTGCAACGATTGATTAAAATAGATCACCCACACTTGTCAACTAAGCAAAATTAACCAATGTAGCTAGTATTGACGGCTTCAGTGAGTTTACAAATGCATGAAAACGTGCTTTTTACTGAAATCCAACAATTTTCTAAGAGTTTAAAAATATTCATCCAGAAAGGTTTAAAAATATACTACGAAAAAGAGCCACAGTTAACCGGCAGTTTTAATTATTGTAAATTTAGAATCAAAAGAGAAAATTCTACTCATAAATTACTAAAAATGTTCGCATTTCTTCAATTAATGCCCAATAAGAAACAATAATGCATAAGAGTATTGTGTGTTAGGTTGATAATCAATATACATCATATTGCCGTTTTCCTTATTCAAAAATGTATAGAATCTCCATTGTATTAATGCAAATGAGCTTCTCCGTTACGAATGTAGTATCATCGATTTGATACTCTTACATGATCAAGTTTACTCTTTTTTTT